TTGCTTTGCTTGGGTGTGTATCTGGATTTAATACCTTTAAACAGACCCATATCCCTTGTAGAGTCTCTGAAAGTCTTGCCTTAGGTTATAGAGAGCAAGGATTTTATTTTCCAGGTTTCTTTCTATGAGAAATTAGTATGGCTTCTTTGGAAAAAAAGGATGCTAGGATAAAAATGTTGCTCACATGAACAGTGTTCATCAGCTGGCAGCAGTAGCCCAGAGGCACTGTTTGAGGCCTAAGAGTTTGAATATTGTCGCTTCTGCTAAAGTCGAGGAGTGAGGGAATGTCTTGAGCACATTGCTTCTGCAGTCTTATTCATAATTACATGTGAGTTTAGGGGCAACAGCTGGTTGGTTATGTGCTGGCCTTGAAGAAAATTATTTGGGAGAGCAGCTGGTAGTTTTTAGGAGGCACAGTCTGACATGCTGCTTCCAACTGCTGGTGCTGTGGCTGAATGAAGAGCAGAGACATAGTTACTTGTAAAGCTTTGCAGGTTGTTGGAGGAGTAGAGGCTTGTTTCTTGCAGCTTTTCCTTGGGTCTGCTGTCAGAATACTGAATGCCTCTGTTAGAAAAGCAGATTTTTTTAGTTTCTGGAGAAGAAAATCTGTAAGGAGCATCATGCTTAGTTGTGTGTTTTACTGTTTCTTCGTGTGAAAAAAAATACCAAAAATGTAATTATGATTGTATCATCTGAATTTTAACATCTCTATTCATTTTAGGGATAAAACTGAAGAATTAATGGAATTAACAGATGAACAGAGAAATGAACTGATGAAAAAAGAAAGCAGCAGACTCCAGAAAACTGGACACCGGGTAACCTACTCTCCCCGTAAAGAAAAAGCACTAAAAATTTATCTGGACGGAGCACCAAATAAAGATTTGACTCAAGACTGATACTCACAATAGCATTTTCCCTGGGGAATTTTTTTGTTTCAAATAAAAAGGTTCACTACTACTGTGTAGTGCCATTACGGCAGGACACTCATTAGGTGTAAAGCGCTGACACCAGCACTGGTTGGGCTGTGTTACCAATCAGAAGCGCAGTGCCCCGCTGGGCCACTGTTTGACTTGGAATCATGTTGTGCACTATAGTCAAATGTACTGTAAAGCTAAAAGGGATGTGCAAATAAAAGATTAGAACTAAAATGTGGGCGGGGAGGGAAAAGAGTGAAAATTTTTTGAGGACAGTGTGCACATAGTAGCTAGTGAAACTAGCCTCAAACGGGATACTCATAGCTTAATAATAAAAGCTGTGCAAAGGCCATGAAAGAATCCTCTTTTCTGTTTGTTTCACTGATACACGCATTACCTCATCAGAGAGTCTGAAGTAAATGTTAACACATTGGTTCTAGAAAAGCAGCAGAAAAGAGTTGAAGATGAAATGGAAGTGCTGCAAGTGTAAAGTTTTAGAATATTCTTCCATAGAGCAGGTAGACTGAGAGGTGTCTGCAGAAAGCTGCCAGCAGGGGTTGGTTCTTTTGCAGGAGTGCTGGTGTAAGGTAAACTGGGTTTTAATAGGTTACGAAGCTGATGAGCAGCTCTACTATATTGAGTTCAATGTGTAAATAAAATTTGCCCTATCCATTCAACAGAACTGCAGCTCAGCTATTTACCATGGTATTTCTTTTCACATATCAACATTCATTGTGTACATTTGGAAGTATAGTTGCCTATTTAAATTTGTATTCATTTTCTGTTTGACAATGTTGGGTACTTTAGGGTTGTATTTCCCCTTGTTAATGAAGTTTTTGTTTTGTTCAGCTACTTTTTGTACATTTTGTTTTTGAGACTGTTACAAGTTTGCATCTTCTCCATCCACTGAAAGTCATCTTATTTTTTCCAGAGTTGATTCCGTAGCTCTATGTAGTAAAATATTGGGGCAACCTCTAACACCTCAACGTATAAACTTGGGTAGTTCAGGTTGTGGTGCAAAGACTGATGCAGTCAACATGATTTCATTGCAAAGCCTAGGAACAGCAATTTTTGCTTTGGTCCATAAAGATCAATAGAGAACAATTCTCCGTAGTTTTTGGAAAACCACCTAATTTATAACAATCAAAAGATTTTGGTAAACTTTTTCATGCCAGATGCTGTTTACAACAATGAACATGCCAATAAAACATTTGTTCATTCTGTTGTGTTATTTTAATCATTAAATGCTGTGGCTTTTATTTGAAAAATTAAAGAATTACTTCATGGAAATGGAGACTTTTCCAAGGCAATGTCAGAATGTAAGGCTGTGTGTATATGTGTATGTGCACACACCCTCCACACATGTGCACAGTACTGCAGGAAGTGTTTTGTTGCCTGTCTGCTGCTTCTCTTCACTTACATTCACACCCAGTTTTTCTTCAACTCTTTAAGTTTCCTTTTCCCAAACTGAATTCCTCACCAGGGAAGCTTCAAAGCTCCAGAGATGACTTGCAGCTAAGTTCTGCTCCGGAGAGGAAAAAGGATTTTAAGTAACTGAATGTTCAGTTCTTCCTTCCATGCTGATGTAAAGCAACCTAAAAATCCTGAGGAATCTGGCAGCTTGAGAACCAGGCACTGCACAGAGCAATTGCCCTTTCTTCCTCTTCTGGTTGACCTGTGCCACCTCTTTTCCAACACAAATTAGGTGGAAGCAGGAGCAAAGGAAGCATCAAATGGGTACTACTCAGTAGGTAAAGTGCTTCATTAAACAGCCCTTTACATACACATAGAGACAGCTGAAGAGCCCTTGGGGGTTTTGGAAGAGAAAAAACTTTACAAATGGGTCATGAATTTTCTTTAAACTCAGACATTTGGAAAAGCAAAAATCTAATAAAGTAGGATTTAGAAATGAATTTCAGAAACTGATTAATCTCTAGCTCTACCTGGGGAAATTTCTGATGAGAACTTCTTTGAAAATTTTCATTTTAAACCTTGACAGAAATCTGGATATACAAGTGAGGGGCACCCTCGTAAGGAGTTGCTGTCCAGTGGTGCACTGCCTTCTGCTTAACTGTGCTGGAATATATTTTAGGTTGTTCTGGAAGATATTTTTCAGCACCTGCTTTACATTTTCATAATTTCAAACATTTTTGAGTTTGACCGTGGGTATTTTAAAGAAACAAAAAGCCCTGAGTTTCTAATTTACTTAGTTCAGCAGAAATCTTGCAGGACCTCTGATGAATACTAACACTTTCAGAGACTGATGCATCAAGAAACTTTATGGGAGAATAATCTTACCTTAAGCAGGGCAGTATTTATGGACAAATTTTTGTTTCATTATTTTTTAACAGGAAAATTGCAATGAGATTTCATTTCTTTGCCTGGTATAGATGGGCTGTCTAAAGCACAGTAATTTATTAGGGATAGAAAGGAAAGGTAAATTCAATTAACTCAGAGAGCATGTGTATGTGTGCTTGAGTTGGTGTGAGAACTGGTAGAAATCTTTAAAAGATTGTTGTGATTAAATACCCTTCTTGTTCATTATTATAATGGTTATTAACCTTAATTCTGGTAGCCAAGGAATTTGTTGAAAACTTTCATAGACAGAAGTGGTAAAAGATTTGCAGGCCATTAGTCCAGTCTTGTATATGCCCGTGTTAAGTTATTGGTGCTCTACTGTTCCAAATCAGACATAGCAGTAGGGATTCTTTGGGACAAAGCTCCATGAAAACTTACTTGGCTGGAGCCTTGTGTTATCTTTTACTATGTGCAGTAACAGATGGTGAAACCTATACCCCAAAAAGCCATTAATAGTTGAAGAGCTGTTGTAGCAAACTGTTGAGATAGCTGGGAGCCAGAGAGTTTGGATTGGATTTCACTCTTAGCTTGCTATTGATCTCTTAAATCAATGACCTATTAAGATGGCAATGATAATCACGTTTTGTAACACACATTTATGCCTATGAAGTGTATTTAAAAGCACAAATCATTTCTCAGAAGCTTTTCTCTGGATGTAATAGAATCAAGAAGGAGAAGCATATGTCTCTAAATGCAAGAAGCTATTTAGGTTGTCCTGCTGCTAAACTGAAGTTATGAATCTATGTTCACTGCCTCTGTCTCTCAAAAAGGGTAGGGGATGACAGAGTATAGTCAACAGATCCTTTAATCAGCATCATCCAGGAAGGTGTGTTCCTGTAGTGCAGAGTGCTGGCAGGTAAGTGGCACTGTATTTAGCTGTAGCTTGGGCATAGCCTTGTAACTGCAGCTGCACCATTCTCATCTATATTGGTATTTACACATTCAATGTACAGCAAGAGAGCTAGGCTATTTGTATTCAGCCTATTTAGCTGCTTTCTGCAATTTGAAATAGTATATTTTGCCCTTGAGAGACAGAGCCCTGAACAGTGAAGTTTAAAGTTCCTATATGGAAACCAATGTGCTATATCTGTAGAAGTATGTCTGAACTATTTGCTCGTTATTTGAAAATTGTTGTAGGCTTGGGTTGGTTGGTTTGTTTTTCTGCCAGTATGGCTCTTATGTAGTGGGGGAGGCCAACAGCTCTTGTACATGGAAGTATTAAAACTTGAGGGATACTCTAGCCATGAACACCAGTTCTGAAGTTACACTGAAGGCTGCTGCAGGACAGGTGGCATCCATGGCACACCTCTGAAAAGATGCTCTGGGTATATTTATCTAACAGGGTAAGCATCCTGGATCTCCTTCATCCTTCCATAAAGTGTGTGTGCTTGGGGGGACATGATACCCAGAATCCATGTGTTGCAGGTTCGCTAATTATATTTGCAAAAGAAAAAATAAAAATTGCTTAAAATCCATGACTAAACCAGTCCAAAGTAGATGGCTCTTACCCAATGAAAAAGAAACAATTGTAAACATACGTACTCAAAAGTCACTTCTGTAGTTATTAATAAGATTATTTATAAGATTATTTATGCTTATATGTATTTTTTTAATGAGTACAAATACTGATAAGTTTTTCTAACATACAAGGGGCAAGTACTAATCCAGAAGTAACATATTTCTCATTTGCCTTTGACAGAACGTTGGTCCAAAGACTGAATGAATTCAACAGGAATTGGAACATGCAGGTCTGGTGCACAGAAACGAATGCTCATTCAAGACCTTATTTATTGCACTTCTATCCAGCAGTATGTGTTCAGGGTTTACGTAAGCGAGACACTAGACAAAAATTCCTGGAAATAACAAACTAAACTGTCTGGTGTTTGGATTTAAATTTCATCTCCTAAAGCTGGGTCATGAGCTGAGTCAGGCTCAGGCTTCAAACCTGCTTGGTCCTCCAGGCTTTCTAATTCTTTACGCACTTCCTGAATGACGCTGCTTTCTTCGTAATCAGAAAGAATATCTCTGGGTATCAAGCTGAGAAATGGCATCTCATCCATGACTAAGGGATCTTCTTTCTCATTATTCCTGGTTTCATTGGCAGACAGTTGACACACAGATGTAGTGCTGTGGCTGTTGGAGAGAGAGACATCTGGTCATATAGTACATCTTGTCATGCTCTTTTGCTAGTTCCTTAATAATTCTCTGTTCTCTCCTCACGTGAAAGCTTTTTAAGTGTGTTATACTGTCACATCTACCAGAGCTGACTTCATAAACCTCTGATTTTTACATGCTTGACAGCTTGAATGTTAAAGATGGTATTTCCCCACACAGAGTTAGAACAAAGGTCCCAATAGCAGAAAACATTTGATACTGGGACACAACATGGCAGTGGACCTCAGCACAATCTGGCCCTTCTACCTACAAGCAGTCGTGGTGACTAGTCCTTTCTGTTTGTCATAACGCTGAGTTAAGAAACATTATACTCTAACTTAAAAGGGATTCCAGGAAGCTGTAGAGGTGAGAAAACAGCATTGTATATTTGGTTCTAAATAAAATAATGTAATGGCTGTATTTGCTGCTGCCTTGCTTTGAAAAGTGGCTTCAGCTGCCTGCAACAAACATCCCACATTTACTGTAGGAACTTAAACAGATTCCAGAATGCTTTATATTTGTAGACAGGAGGTAGGGGAATAAAACTTGACCATGGTTCATCTGCTCTTCCTGCACTGCATGGGACAGGCCAGGGCTGCAGGTCTCGGTGACAGTGTAAGATGACCACTGCTTGTGCCAGGCACCCCTCAACAGCTGTTTGAAGCTGCAGCCCCTTTCACTGGAAACAAGGGATAAATGAACTAAAGATGTTCCTGAACTTTGCTTTGTGTGTGTTTTCAATTCTTGAATGTTTTGCTTTCTAAGAGTTCCAAGACTTCCATTTGTGAGCAAACTATCCCCATGTTCTCTAGGATGTAATCTTAATTTCAGTATTTATCACTCACTAGTAATGTTTAGCCAAGGGCCTTTCCAAGGGGAGATGGGCTGTTTTAAGTGTCGTCTGAATCTTCAAATGCACCATGAAAATTCACAGAAGCAGCTTAACTGTCTGTGTAAGCCATGGGCAGGTAATACGCACAGCATTTGTCATGATCCTAAACAGATACATATTCTTGTTGGTCTAGCTCACTTATATTCACGTTGTAATTAATTTGTGTTTCTATATCCTCATTTGAAATGTTTTCCTTCTTGCAAGATGTAACATTTGCTGACTTAGCTTCCCTGATATTAATGGTTCTTGTACAGAACCTAAAATTCTGGTGCTTAAAGGATGGGATCAACTCTGCTTGCTTTCCTAGATCTCACTGATGAAGCAAAATGTTACTCAGTTACTTTTCATGCATGAAAAAAATGCAGAAACAGTTGGACACAGAAGAGAGAAAGATTAATCTACATCTGTCAGAGCTGTGCGATCTTTGAAAGTTAATATAATGAAAATGGTAGCGTAGGAACAAACTTGGAGAGCTTATTTCATAGATAACATGAAGGTTTTCTAAAAATGCTTTTAATGCAAAACTAAAATAATCTTTCTCCCATTGACATTGCTGATAATGCAAATGACTGTTGTTCTAAAGAATCATTAAAGGCATATATTAAAATTTTTAGCGTCTAGCCAAAAATACAGAGTCTGCTTCTTATTATGTGAAACTTGATACTGAAGAAGTCTTCACAGTATGAAGTGTTTCAAGTCTGAATAGCAGATCTTAAGTCAGCCTCGGGTCAGTTTGAAACTGAAGGAAAGTACAAGTGAAGATAACTTTTTTTTTCTTGGGATAGAAGTGACCTGTTCATACCTACTGCATGCATTAAAATGTCTTTGTCATATCTGAAAGCAAGCAAAACATCTAAGAACAGCCAAGTCTAACATAGAAAGCTGGTGGACAAGAACTGTATGTAGAGAAACAAACTGGAATGGTACATCTGAACAGCTGTTAGTACTTTCTGATTGATTAAAAAGCAGTGCCAGCCTGATGCACAAACTTAATTCACACTGGATTAAGGTGTTGCCAGAGTTAATTAGGCACATCTGTGTGGGACAAAGCAATAAATCTGAGAAATGCTACTGATGAGAAAGGCTGTCAGAATACTTTGTAATGTGGAAGACTCTGTAAGTTCTGTATCTATTTATTGCAGAAACAGAGGCTTCAAATATTCCAAGCAGCTTGTCTGCCCAGTTTTGATCTTTACCTCTGAGGTTGGCAGATCAAGCCACTTGCACATGGGCATCGCTCCAGCACTCCATCGGGTTCCAGTTCCCAGGTGATCAGGTTGAGAAGCCTGTTTGAAGGGTCATGGCAGGGTTCACCTTCTTCAGGTAATGGTGTGCACACAGGAAACAGGAGTTCTGCATGACAGAGGACATGAACTTCATGAGAAGTCATTAACTATCTGCTAAACTGAGATGACTGAGATTTAAGTCTAAATGCAAGACATGAAAAGACAGACTTGGCCTCCTTTTAAGACCCCTTACATGTTAGGGACCCGTAACTTAATGTTCTTCCCACTAGGTGGGGGTAAGGCATTTGAAGTCTGTGTGATGAGCAAGATCTACTCCTGCTTCACCACTGTCAATACACATTAGCGCTGCACAACTCCATCCCTTGGAGGTTCAAAAGACTGTTCTAAAACCAAGGAAACTTAACAGTGAATCCTTTGCAATGCGTAGCATTAACGGTTTTAAATCTGAATAGATAAATAGCTCTATTATGGAACACTTTTCCTGTATCTTCTGTTTCTTTGCGGAGGCTACAAATACAGAGGAATTGTTCAGAGACTAATAATGAGGTTGTAGGAACTACTACTCAGCCATTTAATTTGTTACAGTAATTCTACAATAGGCAAAGCTGTCTGGCGTTTGGGGCTTGGCACCCTTGTTCCTGCAGAGGGCTGAATTTCAGCCTGTTTAAGAAATTATTTAGAAGGCTGGGGTAGAAAGATGGTTATAACTGTATCCTGTCACTACAAAATTAAGGTGAACTATGCTAAATGCAGCAAGGAGCCAGTGGGTATAAAACTATAGAAGAAGCTGGGCCCTGACCCGGTAGATTTAGACCTGATTTTGGGCCTGATACCTTCTCCTCCTCTCCTCCCTTCTGTAAATCAAGTTTCATATTCTCATGTGAACTGACAACGTAATTTGGAACATAATTCCTCTATGTATCTTGGCTGTCCAGTTGGGACTGCACATTGTGGTGCCCTGGAAGGCTCATTACATAACTCAGAGTATGAAATATGCCTGTGGTCTGATTCTGATGGTCTGCTTGCTGATTTCAAAGGAGAAGCCACTTTCAGTAATCTCATTAATTTCTTCTGTACGTTTTTAATTCTCTAATTTTTGCTCTGTTGGGTGCAAATTTAACACAGAGCTGTGCTACTTTTAGATGTCTGAGACCCTCAGAAACAGATTTTTGTGCTTCTCATGCTGTTTCCATCACTAGCATGCAATAGGCTTTTCTTTCACCACTATGCACCCCTATCAGACTCTTTCTCTCTTCTAGTTCTATTACAGTTTTATAATTAAGTTAACACAGTGTGTTCCAAGGGAGAACAATGTATTGATTCTTCAGAGGTTTAACCACTTCACCTCAACAAAAGAGCTAAATATTAACTCTTCTGTATTATAAAATGAATAAATAGCAAAACCTCTGTACCTTTCTGAAAAGCACAGCATGTTCCAGGGTTGCAGTCATGTTGGTTCTCACAAATGGTGCCGTTCTCTCCCTTTGAAGTGGATTTCCTGCACTCACCCCAAACGCAAAGCTGGTCCCCACAGCATTCAACATCCCGGGAGCAACGCTGGCCAACGGAAAAAGCAGGTGACCAAACTGTTCAGCTGGCTTTTAATACATGCTACTAGTGCTAGAGTGACAGAGAATTAGCCCCTGGTCCTGAAGTCAACTGCATATATGTGCTTCAAATATATGCAGGTCTTACTGCTTAGGTTCTCAACTTCCATCATACATAGAACTCTTTGCCAAATGGGAACCTCTGCAGCACAGCAACAGCACTCTTTCTGTATTATTATTCTTTCAGTCTTATAAAGCTTGAATTCTTATTTTAGCATTTGCATGAAAATTGATCAGCAGCCAGACATCCTACAGTGCAACATAAATTTCAGGAAAACAAAAATTAATAAATGAAACATTATCAATGGAAGACATTACTGATTTTTTTTTTCCATTGGTAAATGCAGTCAGGAAGGTACTATTTGTTCAGAAGGATTGCTTTCAAAGAGCAAAGGAAAAAAATCTTACTGAAATCCAATTTGTAGTTGTAATAAGAACCAGACCCCGTTTGTATCCAAGAATCTTTGAAAAAAAAAAATTTTGAAAAAAATTCTCTTTGAAAATCAGAAATGCAATCTCTAAGCTGTCTAAAGACAGCTTTGTGTGACAATTATCCTAGTGTTTCAACAATACACACCTAATAAATGAATCTCTCTGATTCTAATAGAAGTAGTGTGTCACTTTCTTTTTATAGTAGTTTGATTAACATCTCGAAGATTCCTAGTAGGTCAGCATTTTAACAACTTTTTTCTGTCTGTGTAAAGCCCTGTCTGGGCAGTGGATCCCACAGGAAGTGCTTAACACAGGGCAGAAAGTAGGACTGTGTTAGCACTGGTAAGACCTGCTAATTAAAAATAAATGTCTTGTAATTGACATGTCAGGGAATTGATGCCATCATCTTCAGCCTGAGCTCATGTTATAACAGGAGTGTAGCTAGGACCCAATTTTTACTTTCTTTATCCTACAGATGTTCTACTAACCACTGTAAAGAAAAGAGGGGAGGGGGTGCTAGGTCACCCCAACCTTGATTTTTAATTATTCCATGTTAACATGGCAAAATTGTCGGTTTAACATTTTCTAAAATGCAAAGACAGTTTTCTTAATGACATTTGAGCATATACTCAGGGCTTGTGTTTAAGCAAGCATTCAGTCCACTGAAATCAACAGAGCTCCCTGAAGTTATCAGGATAAGAAAGTATTTAAATAATTTCAGGAACAGCCTGGTGCTTTTAGATTATAATAATCCTATTGATTACATGACTTAATAGCAAGGCTTTCTTGCCTGTAGGCTGAACTGTCTGCGAGTGCTTTGAGGAATGAATTTGTTTTTGAAATTCAGCAGAACTTAGATGAAAAGGGACAGTCAGGTAAGAGGATTACTTACAGTAACAGTTGCTCTATGGGATTGTACAAGTGGACACCAAAGGGAAGAGTAATTCTCTGTGAGAACAGAGCTGAGAAGGACCAACTGCCAGCTGAGCCACAGAAGCTAGCACAGTATTTCCTCTTTGCCCACTACACTGCCAACCATCAATGAGTTTATGCTGCCCTTAGGCCACCTAACAAGTCAGTCTTGAGTCAGGAGGATCAGAGTGCAGTTTTTAAACCACAGCAGAACAGAAACCTTATAACTTAGTTGTGTTAACAGGCAGAAGAAAAAACAACCTAGAACACTTTATGCATCCATTTTTTAATCTCATGCAGAAAGTTTTGTATCTCGTTTTCTATAAATTTTGACTTGTTGGCATTAGCAACAGCAACATATATTGAGTTTCTAAAGACATAAAATCACATCTCATTCAGAACTTACTGTATGCTGGGGTTTACAGAGCTGACACTTGTATTCAAAGGTGGAGAACTGGCAATATTTCCCTGTTTCACAGTCTTCATCAATGATACACTCCTGAAGAAAAGGAAAGAAGTGTAATTTTCTACTGTGTGACAGAAATCCATAGCTCTTCTTGAAACATCAGAAGGTCTTGATTGATCATATTTCTTATATAGGAACCAAGGAAAAAGGCTTGCTTTGGTTCTTCATAGAAACACAGTTCTGAAAGAGAACAATGCTACCTCCCTGGCATACCTAAATATTGCAGCCTCAAAGTGTTAGGTGGTTTCACTTCTTGTATGAATATTAATACCAGCAATCTCAACAGGAAAATGAATTATCTTGTTTTGCAAGTGTACTGGGTTTGCGAGGCAAGGTTTTGGTAGTAGGGGCCTACAGGAGTGTCTTCTGTGAGAAGCTGCTAGAAGCTTCCCCCATGTCTGATAGAGCCAATGCCAGATGTCTCCAAGAGAGATCCACCACTGGCAAAGGCTGAGCCCATCAGCAATGGTGATACCACCTCTGTGATAACATAGTTAAGAAGGGGAAAAAAACCCTGCACAGCAGTTGTAGCCAGAGAGAGAAGTGAGAAGGTGTGAGAGAAACAACTATGGAGATACCAAGGTCAGTGAAGGAGTGGGCAAAGGTGCACCAGGCACCAGAGTAGAGATTCCCCTGCTAGCCTAGCTCAAGTGTGCTTGAGCACACTTTCAGCTTTTTCAAACCTGGAATAATTTCATGGACTTAACAAAAACATTCATGTGAGAGGGGCACCTGAGTTCCCATCTGAATCACAAACTCAGACTGAAGTTGCTTCACTCAGAGGTGCCACAAGCACTGTGGTAGAGATTTCTTACCTTCCCTTCATCCTACACAGGGTGAATGTACAAACTGTTCAGAAACTCTTCCCAGAATGAAACTCTGCAGGTAAGACGATAATACCTGTAAGTGCCCACACCTGTGTACCCCCAAAGTGTCAGGTTCACAGGGAGGAGGTGTCTCCTCCTCATAACTTACTGTTACCTCTTAAAAATCATGTAGTTAACCCTGTTCTCTAAAATGTGTTTTCTCTAGGCTGGAAACAATCTAGCCAACAGAAGAATAATTCATAGCACCATTCTGAGGTTGCACCATCATAAGGTTGATGCTACCTTTTTGCTATTAGTTTATATATATATATATATACACATATACAAAAATCCCTGCATTCTTTGAGCTTGACTGCTCTTTGGCAGATGTTAATCTCACCTGCTGTAGCAGATCAACTATTATCTGTGCAACCTTTATTGAAAGTTTCTACTAAGCTTTTAATTTTCTATTTCTACTTTTTTGGATAATTTCTTCCCAAACTGCTAACTTATTCCACCCCATCCCAGTTGGGGTTTGTGTTTCAAGTGGGGTGAAAATTATCTCAGCAAGAAGTTTGGGTGAATCTCTTAAATAACTATTATCACTGAAAGAGGAAAATATTTAATTGTAAAACAGCTATAGTGTCTTCAGCTCTTCTGCAGATTAAACCTTATGGAAGATTCTTGCCCCGTGTGAGACGAGGCTGCACTGCCTGAAGAACAATGCCCTGCCTAAGTTACCCATTTTGGTCATCTGAGATGTTTTCAAACAGTTTGCTTACCCAGAAAATAGAACAGAAGCCAAACACAGCCTGGGGCCTGGTTCTTTTCAAGACAATGACATGATATTCAGGTTATAGGTTTATAATTAAGAAGGTCATTTCAGCTATGTTGAGACTTTAGTATACATTACTGGGTCTAGGCTGCTATAAATTGTAATGATTTTGCAACTTCATTATTCCAGTACAGTGTGTGTTCTGCTTGTTTGCTTTTGTGTTGCTACATAATCAGGTGGGTCAAAATCCAAATGTTATATAGTATGTTTAAGGTTTTGTGGTTCCAAGTTAGCACTTAGCCACTTCCCCTCTTCAGCAGCCATGCTCTTTCTGGTCAGTTTTCTGCCTGAAGTTTTGTCAGCTTCTTTTATGAATCCCTTTGCATAAGCCATACTCAGAGCAAACTATACTGTTTCATTCCTGTTCCATCCACTTCCAGGCAAACAGCCAGGTCTCAGTGTAGTCAGTTTTTCCAATTGTCCCTTTCCACAGAGCAGAAATCTTGCCATAATCATTTTTAAGTTCATTGAATGACTCTCTCAAGCTCTAAAACCACCTAACACCAAAGTTTCAACTCTCCAGGCCCTGCTTTCTATTGTGCTAATGAGTCCCCTGCCAAAAAGCTTTTTTCTCCCCCTTGCTGTTTTTTGTCCCACCAGCTCAGACTTCCACTTTTATGAGGGTTTTCAGTTAGGGAAAAAATGCCTTCATGGTTTTCTTTCCTGGCATGAAAAAAGCTTGCTTTCATATGCTCTCTGTGAAATTTTGTGCCACACTCCAACTTCTTTGGTCTTATAATCCATAGCCAATGCAGAACTCAGTAATGCTTATAAATGCATATGTGTAACTGTTCAGTTTCTTCTTTCTTTTCTTTTTTAATTTTATTTTTATTTTCTCCTTTCGCAGGCTACTGACCTTTTCTAATCAAGCTACTTTGAAACAGTTGCTGGACAAGGAGCAAACATAAATACCTTCATCAGCTGCAATGGATTCTGAACAATCATTTTTCTTCTGGAATTCTGCAAGCTAAGTTATTTCTCACAATATTTTGTCTTTGCAGGAGAAACAGTGTGCAAAATGAGGAGAGGGGTTGCGGGCTTCTGACATGCAGTAGAACATACAAGCTGAACAGATAGCTTAAAGACAGAATTAGCTGCATTTATAATGGTGTACTTCTCTCTGAAATCCATTATGATGTTATACAAGTTAATTTAACATAGCAGCAAGGGAATATGCTATTTGAAAAGTGCTAAAGAATAAAGCAGTGTGAAAACAGGGCTGACTATTAATGAGTATACTAGGACCCACAAACAACAGAGGCCAGGAAGGAGAGTAGTATGCCGTGTACCCGTAAGAACATAATCAGCATCCTCTGAGCTCTTACTCTAATACTGTACTCTGCAGTGAATAGTGAATATCCTGCAACACCTGAAAGCAATTTGGGCGTTAGGATCTGTTCCAAAACCAAGAGGAAAAAAAACCACCTCAACAAAACACTGGAACTAGTGGAAAAGGTGCCCTGCATTGTAAGACTGCTAAAACAACAGCTGCTGAAAGAAATTTCAATTTTCTTTCTTTTAGCAGATTATCCCAAGCTATTGTTTGCTCTCCTGAAGAACGGCTTGAGAATAAAACAGAAGCTGATGCAGTGAAAGTGAAGTATGGTAGTATCACAGCTACCAGAGAATGGAAACAGATGCCTGAGTGTGAGAGAGCACAAGCACAGGAGTGTAGAGATCAGAACTGGTGTGACAGGTTTTGACAAGAGTACTCTCCTTCTGGCTGAATGTTCACATGTATGCGGAAAGGCACAGAAGAACGTGCTGTGACAATGTTAACATTCGACCCAACTGAATTACAGAGTCATAGACTGGTTTGGGCTGGAAAGGATCTTAAAGACTACCTTGTCCCAACTCCCCTGTCATGAGCAGGGACACCTTCCACTGGACCAGGTAGCTCAAAGCTCCATCCAACCTGGCCTTCAACACTGCCAGGGATGGGGCACCCACAACTTCTCTGGGCAACCTGTTCCAGTGTCTCACCAGCTCACAGTGAAGTATTCCTTCCTAATATCCACTCTAAATCTCCCATCTTTCAGTGTAAAACAGTTCCCCCTCATACTATCACTACATGCCCTTGTAAAAAGTCCCTCCCCAGCTTTCCTGTAGCCTCTTCAGGTATGTGAAGGCCACTATAAGGTCTCCCTTAAGTCTTCTCTTCATGAGGCTGAACAAGGCCAGCTCTCTCAGCCTGTCTTCATAGGTGCTCCAGCCCTCTGATGCCTTTGACCTAGAAGGCACCATGGGCTACTTTGGCAGATGGTACTTGACTGGTGGAGTGTAGCCAGCTGTGGTGTAGACCACATTATCTTCTGCCCATAGAACATACTAAGGATAAAGAGGCAGAAGCAAAGAATTTCTAAATTCAAGATATGAAAGCAGAGTAAACCTGTTTTCACATAGAAACCCACTTTCATTTGTAGTATTCAGCTGGTTTCTGTACCTCACTATGGCAATATTTTTAATACTCTATTGCTGTTTATATAGTATGTACTGAAATCATGCTCATTTTGCTTTGATCTTTTTCTTCTCATTTTCTAATTAACACTTTAAGTGTAGAGCAGAAAAATATGCTCCAGTCTATTCTGATACTGACTTTCAAAATGGAATAATTTAAATTGAAATTTGATATTTGATTTGTTTGTTTCCTGTTCCCACTCACACTCAGCCTACCTCCCACATTCTCAAAAAGTCCTTCTTCAGTGATAAATGTGAACAATACTGATAATTTTAAACAATACTCCTGCTTCACTATTCACATCTTCAGCCAAAACTTGTCATGGAATCAAATGAGTGAACGATCTTTCCTTTCTTTCTGGGCTCTTTACACTTTAGCTTAGAACCCAAGAAAGCAGAGGAAGGTGCTGTTCATTATTTTATATTAAATGGTGATGAATACACTTATCAAAGACAGACAGTGAACACTAAGGCGGGGGGTGGGGAGGCAGCATACTGAGCAGAAAATGCCCTCATAGGTTAAGGGGCAGCTGTACTAGAGAAACTGAGCAGCACTTGCCTGCCAAGGTCACTGACTGCTCTGACATGAGAACAGTAAGTGGGATTCAAGGGGGAGAATCACTTTTCCCCTCCTTTTATAAGCTGTACAGCCCAGTTTGCTGGCTTGTTCTGATCCAGTTGCAGCTCGTGGCTGCAAACCTTTTAAAACTCTCTAAAAGCTGAAGGAGAGGCAGGGTTTTTGTTTGGTTTTGTTTGTTTGTTTTGTTTTGGGTTTTTTTGGGTTTTGTTGTTGTTGTTGGTTTTTTCCCCTGGCAATGTCTGTAGAGCTGTAAGCCCAAACAGCCATTCCAAAGTGTTCATTCTTAACCCTCTATGGATTTAAAGTTCTCAAGCCATAAAGTATGGAGGCAAAATTCACTGATTTCAGAGAGGTG